TAAACTCGACTAGCGGTAGATATGTAGTCTAATCGTCTTGTTGATAGTTGATGCTGCATCGTAAGTATTGTTCCAAGACTTAGTTCACCCGTTCCGTTTGGCCGTTAGTTTGAGGATGAAAAGCTGAAGAAAGCTTAATATCCACCTTCAGTATCTCAAAGACAAATCTCCAAAACTTTGATACAAACTGGGTTCCTCGATCTAATATGATATCATCTGGTAGTCCATGATATCGATACACATTATCGAGAAAGAACCTTGCTGTGACTTCATAGGATGATGTCTTCTTGCAAGGAACAAAGTGTGTCATCTTTGTAAGCCAATCTACCACAACAAAGATGTTGTCAAATGAGTACGATGATGGCAGGTCTGTGATGAAGTCCATGGAAACTGAAGACCATGGTCGACGTGGAATCGGCAATGGCTGTAGGAGTCCATAAGGGCGATGCCGAGGATTCTTGAAACTTGAACAGATGTCACAGGAGAGGACAAAATCTTTCACATCTTTCCATATTTGGGGCCACCAAAAATCTCGAGAAATAAGCTCCAAGGTCTTGTTGAATCCAAAATATCCCGCAGTTGGAAAATCGTGGCGAGATTGAAGAACTCTGAGTCGTGCTGGTCTTTTTGGGATATACAACCGCTCCTCAAAGTATAAAAGATCTCCCTCCACCTTGAACTTGTCGTCATTGGCATGCTGCTTGATATCAATGGCTACTGAATCTTCAATGATCACGGCACTTACCTGATTCAGGAAGTCAGCATCAATTGACACAATAGTAGTGCAAAGTCGAAATTGCTCTAGCTTCAACAACGTCGAACATTGTTGATCAAACGTTGCTTCTCCAGCCTTTGGTACAAGATACGATCTCCTCAATAAGGCATCAGATAGTCTTTGCTGCTTTCCAGGTCGATAAGTGATAACAAAATCAAACTTAGATAGCGACATACTCCAGCAAGATTGACGTCAATTTAGAACTCGAGCCGACATGAAATATTCCAAATTCTTGTGATCTGTGTATACGGTATTTGGGTGTGCAGCTCCTTCAAGAAAGTGATGCCATTCTTGGAAAGAATCCACTATAGCAAGAAGTTTCTTATCGTGGATCTCATAATTGATTTTAGCGGCAGAGAACTTTCGAGAATAGAATGCAACCGGATGGAGCTTCTTGACTTTCCCTATTTGTGAAAATACAGCTTCCAAAGCAAAATCCGAAGCATTAGTTTCTAAATAAAAGGCCTTTGTAAAGTCTGGATGTAACAAGATTGGAGCCATAGTAAATGTGGTCTTCAGGTCTTGAAATGCTTTCTCCGCTAGAGGTTCCCATTCCAGCTTATCCTTGCATGTCAACCGAGTGAGAGGAGCAGCAACTTGAGACTAATTCTTGATGAAGATCTAATAGAAGTTGACAAAACTAAGAAAGCATTGTACGTCTCTAATCGTCTTTGCAACCTCCCAAGACACGATTGCTTCCACATTCTTGGGGTCCATCTTCAAGCCTTCCGTAGTCGCAACAAACCCCAAAAACTCCATCTCTATTTGGTGAAATAAACACTTCTCTAACTTGGCATATAGTCTTCGCTCGCGTAGTTTCTCCAAGACCAAACGAACGTGCTTTTCATGCTCTTCTTCGTTTTTGGAGAATATCAGAATATCATCCAAATAGATGAAAACAAAATCATTAAGGTGCTCTCAAAAAATATCATTCATCATATGTTGAAAGATCGCTGGAGCATTGGTAAGACCAAAGGGCATGACATTATACTCAAAATGGCCATACCTTGTACGGAACACTGTCTTCCACTCATCTCCTTCCTTGATTTGTACAAGGTTGTAAGCTCCTCTTAGATCAATTTTTGTAAAGATCCTTGCATGTCCAAGTTGTTCTAAGAGACCAAAAATCAAGGGTAATGGATAATGATTCTTCTTTGTTACCTTGTTAAGGCCTCGATAGTCCACTCACATCCGCAACGAGCCATCTTTCTTCTTCATAAATAAGATGGGTGCTCCAGTTGACAATTTTGAATGACAAATGAAGTTCTTGGCTAAATTCTCGTCGATGTACTTCCGCAACTCCGCCAACTCCATTTGCGATAGATTATAGAGTGGACCAAAAGGCAGTTGTGCTCCTTCCTGCAAGTCTATGATGCAATCATATGATCGGTGTTCTGGTAGCATGTCGGCATTCTTCTTTTGAAATACGTCTTTAAAATCTTTATATTGCTCAGGTATACTTGCTGTCGAGATCTTCTCCCCGGTAGTTGGAGCCACATAAATGACAAACGATGTGCCTTCCTTTGACGATCTTATAAACGCTCTTGCTCCAATTAATAAGGATTTTTCTATTTGGGGTTTTCTACAAGGCTTGCTCTTGGGTGGTTTTGTGGAAAAGGTCATCTTCCGCAACCTCCAATCTATAGATGGATTATGCTTTTTTAACCAAAAAAGACGAAGAATAACAAGATTTGATGGAGTTCTAATAATATTAAGAATAATATAACTACTATGGCCCTTAAACGTCACTTCTATAGGTTCTGATTCATGTATGACACTACCAGATAATAAAGGTCGCTCATCTATGACCTCAACATGAACAGGTTTGGATTTTTGTACTAAAAGGATCTTATGACGCTTTGCAAATTCTTCGTCTAAGAAACAAGCAGATGCTCCTGAAACTAATAATGCTAAGGTTCTCAGTTTCTGAGGGCCAATAAGCAAAGGGATTGTAAAACAAAGGGCAGGTTGAGCGAAAAGAAAGGAACCTGGTTGTTGTTACGATATTTCACTGTCCAGCCACACAGTTCCTATTGTGGCTGGGCATCCTCGTTTTCCTGAACAAATGTGCCCCTAGTCCTGACAATACGTCGATTTTGCTTCTTGGGGCAGTTTCCAACTTTGTAGCCTTCTTCACCGCAATACAAGCATAGACCTTTCTCCATACGCCACTTTTTTTCTTCTAGAGTAAGAAATTTGACACATACCAAATCAATTTGCATGTCTTCTACCTCTGAATGTGAATTCACACTGATTGCTGATATAGTTGGGGCATGACAAACCGTATGTTGTCTTGAACGTTGGTCTTGGCAGCGTTGAAATAGGCGGTTATCACACTTCATAACTTGGCTAATAGCTTCGTTGAGCGTTTGCGGATCAAGAAGAATTAATAGCAAATCCTTCACATCGTCCCTTAAACCCCAATAGAATTGACTCATCAACGCTTCTTCGTCCCAATTGATGTCACATGCTAATTGCCTGAAGTCCGATGCATAGACTGATGTAGAGCGCATCCCTTGTCGTAGTGACCGGATCTTTGTTGTAGCCCATCGAACTTTGTCTTGTTTACCAAATGCTTCCGTAAACGCCTCCAAAAAGGTTTCAAAGTTGTTTAGTATGGACAATCGTTTCTCAAACAAAGGAACAAACCATGATAGAGCTTGCCCTGTAAGTAAGGCTCCAACAAGCCCAACACATGACTCCTCTGTTGGATAGCATTCGGGCTGTAAAACTGTTATCAACCTGATTTGGTTGACGAATCCTCGAAACTTGGAATGCGTACCATCGAACTTGTCCGGAAGACTAACTCAAGGCTCCTTATATTGTAGAACCAACGGTGCTTGTCGAACCTGAGGCAAAGTTGCTTCTCCAAGTGTAGAAGTTTGAGGCTGGTGCAACCTAGATTGTACCATCCCAAATGCTCCATCATTATGAAGCCTTGCCACGACTCCTTCAATCTCTGCAGTACTTTATGATAACATAGTGAGGGCATTCATGATAGCATCCAACTTGGACTTCGAACTTTTCGTCATACTAATGTCTTGACCTCCGGCCATTCTAAGAGAAGGACAGAAATGACTGTACAAGAAGACAATATTGGTTTAGAGGAGGGTACTCCGCAACCTCTAAAATGCCTTAAGAGCTTCAAGAAAAGAGGTAATCCACTCTCTCCAAGAAGAATAAGACTCCAATATTGTAACAAAAAAAAAGTATCAGTTTAGAGGAGGGTAATCCGCAACCTCTAAAATGCTAGTACACTTCCAAGCAGAGGGGTAATCCACACTCTAATGAGGAAGAAACTAGCTCTGATATCTGAGGTGAGTGAAGTCTTGACAAACTGTCATGGATACAGAAATATAGACTTGAGATCTAACAAGAAGTTCAAGAAGAATTGGTAAGAACTAGATTAATCAGATGAATATAAGAACAACACCAGAGAAGTGAGCTAGAGCTCCAAGAGATGTGTTGTCGAGATTGAAGGACTCTTCAGCCTCGATTCCAATATATACTCCTATTTAGGAAGCTTCTCAAACAATTTCCATCAACTAGGAAGCTTCTAAAAGGTTCCAGAGACTTGCTTCTGGAAAGTTCTAGAAACTTGTCTCTAGAAGGTTCTAAAGACTATGTCCCTAATACCCTAACATCTTCTACCAACTAAGAAGCTTCTCAAGCAATTTCCATCAACTAGGAAGCTTCTAAAAGGTTCCAAAGACTTGCTTCTAGAAGGTTCTAGAAACTTGTCTTTAAAAGGTTTTAAGGACTATGTTCCTAACAACTCCTACATGTGAGAAAATGAACTTATTTATGTAATCTCAGCTTGCTCCAAGGATAGTATGATTCTTCTTTTTTCAAGTAAGAATGGTTGCTTGATTTGTAGGTGGTGTTGTTATTTATGTATTTGGTTTTGTAATTGGTGTGAGTCACCAAATTGACTCACAAATTATTTTAGGACAAAAAAATGCAATAGGAATGTCAAGTGGCAATTGTTAGTAGAAGATGAGCTTAGAGAATACTAAACAAAAGCAAAATAGAGTCAATGAATAAAACATAGTGATATGTAGAAATTCTAGTAGAAAAGTCCAACTTTAGTACCGTATCTATATGGTACTATGACTTTGGGGCCATACGGGGTACAGTAGGATAGGTACCCCAGGTATCAGACCCGGTTATCAAGTCGGGTTTTGCGGCCTCCAGGAGCCACTTCCGATAGAGGTCCGGCTCTGCCCCCGCATACTCCCCTTCCTTTTGTTCTGATTTTTTTTGTGTGGGCTCGGACGGCGACGAATCCCCCTGTATGTGTTTTTCCTACGATGGTGTGTAGCGGCAGAATTGTTTCTTGTCCATTGAGGCATTGCGGTGTAGCAGCCGTTCATTTTTGTGGTCAGCGTGGAGCTCCGAGCGGCGATGGACTGTGCGGTGTTGAGCAGGGCAGCATTCGATTTTTTTTGTGATCATCATGGGTGCTAATCTATCTTCTTTATTGGTTGCGGTGCAAGGCGACGGTGAAAGTGTGTGTTGTAGAGCGATGCTTCTGGTCTTGTTGTTCGTATTGTTTTTCTAGTTGCCTGGCAACGGTGTTGTTCTGCGGAAGCTGCTACAGATCTCTAAAGCGACGTGCTATTGTTTTCTTCCGTTGATTGTGTAACCGCGGAACAGTGGTCGGCGGTTTTGATTTGTTGTAATTATTTTCTTCTTCTGATGTTGCGGTCGGGTCGTGGTTGTAGGTATTGATACGTTACGGTTGCAAGGATCGAGCTGGTTTTGTGTTCCCTTAGATGGTATTTTCTAGTGGAGTGCGGAGACATCGCCGATTTGTGTAGTAGGGAGCGGCAGAGATGACTAATTGGTTGCGGCTAGAGATTCTGTGCTTGGCGGTTCTCACTCTTAGAGGGCCGATTTAAGTCTTGTACTTCTGGCTACAATTCAGAATGTTGAGACTAATGTGTATTCGCTAGGAGGATAAATCTATGTGCAAGACAACGACAGATAGTTGTATTAAGCCTATATCAATGACAGACAGAGTTGAGGTTTAATGTCTCGAGCATACGTACTATTCACGTTAGACAGCGGGACCAGCACTTCAAGGGTGTGCGATCGATTTCTTCAATGAGGGAAGCGGCGGCCACTAACCGAGTTACCGAGGCCTTCTGAATCTGGTGAATTTCGCGTATATCATTCTGTTGATCCTCAAATGGCTTGCAGAACTGGAAGTCCGCTGGAGACATTGTGTAGTCTACATGATGGAGTAATTTGATTTTGCAGCCGCTTCCACTTCCACGGTGCAACGCCGGAAAGTGAACCTGGAAAAAAATCTCCTGAGGGCCCCGCAAATCGGAACGGTGAATCGGGCTTGTATTGGGACTCTCAGTCGCGTTTGTTAGGTTGGCTTCTGGATAGTTCGAGCTGCACGTTGCCTTCGGAGAGGCGACTTTTTAGAGGGAAGGTGGTGCTTGGGTGAAGTTTAAGCCTTAGGTGCAAAGATATCTTACGGGGTACAGCAATTCGTCTGCAGCAGCAATCTCAATGTCAACCCCAAGGTTAGAATCTTCAGTTTCGGAAGCAAAGTCGTCGTCCGAAACGGTTCTCTGATCTGACCCGGTAGCAGCAAAATAAGTATTAGGCAATACTTGGAACTTCCTAGATTGTTACAAGCTGAGAGACCATTGTAGTGCTACTACGCGGACGAATCCGTTTGTATTAGTCACATGATTCGGTACTAAGAGCTGTAGTATAATTGGAACAGCAAAGGGGCTTACTTAATCTCTAATATTGTTTTCATTTATTTTCTTCTGTGCTTCTGTGATCAGGAGCCCTTATTGTATCAGTTGTCATTTTGAAGCATATTGCGCATGCCCATGAGATCAGGTTAGTTAATAGGTTGCATATTAGACCGTAGGAGATCACTAGGTTGTTAGAAAAAATCGGAGTGTCGACTCGTCTAGATGCGCGAAGTTGAAGCTGTTCATGGAAGGTGGCTTTTTGGGATTTCACCGCATTATTGGAAAGCCTACCATTGCGGCCTGTGTGAGGCGCAAGACTTAAGCATTCGAGTATTTGTGAGTGAACGGAAAAAACTCTTCTTCATTGTCCGATTCAGCAGAAGAGTGCAAGGTAATTTCGAGATTCTTGAGGAGATTCAAGTTAAAAAGGCATTCAATTAGGGCTTGATTGAATTAGGATTTTGGATGAAAAAAGGGGATTTTGGATTTAAAATTTATTAAACACTAATTGAACAATAATCACAAAATAATAGAGTTAGTAGGTAATTAATTTGTTGTGAATTGGAATAGACTTCCAACTAGTGGGGGTTTATTTTAATTCACAATTGGTATTTGCTCTTTTTTTTTGCTAGAAACTAACTCCCCCATGTCTTTCATCTCATATTTCATCTTAGTCTTTTGTCTCTGTGTATCAAAAACCATCAAATTTTGGCCATTCCTTAGTGGTAAGGTTGTTTGAAGCCATTTTTGTGAGAGAGTCTACTGTGGCTCTAGTTTCTGTATTAGAGGTCTTCAACTCAGCCCTTCCTCTTGTGAACTTATTGTCTAGTTTCTACAATTTTTGTTGCTCTAATACAATTTTGGAATTACTTGTGTAAATAAAGGTTTATAATTTGGTAGGATTTTGTAATTTTATTATATCTAAGCTACTGAATAGAGTATTTCCTTTCCTTTTTTCCATGTCAAGAGAGGTGCGTATAGGAGGGTCGCGACTCCTCGACAGGTTGCGATGTTTTCTTGTTCAGTTTCGTCTCACCACAGATTTATTAGTTCTGATTGTTTATTTGTGATTATTAATGCATGGGATGTTCAGTACGTGCGAAATTTTCACATCACTGTAGAGACAAATATGCTCTGAAACACCGACGTCGGAACATGCTGTTCGCAAACACTGCATTTTTTTTTTAAGCTCTCTATCTTCCTTCGTAGTTTGTGCTTGCGGGACAATCCAGAACCTTCTCAAGCATCTAGAAGGCAAGTCCACGTGATCATCCTGGTTGATCTTGCTTCCCAAGAAGGGTTCTGCGCTCATAATACATTTAGATAGATATGCCGTAAAGTCGTCGTAAGTGTGGGGTTGCTGTTACGTACGCCTTTGTAGGGGTTCATGTCTATATCGAAGAGATTTGTGCACCCACTACAGGGAAGCTTGGTCATTAACGAACTCTAGCTAGGTGAGTTTGTTTACAAGAGAGCGAACTAGGGTCCCAAAATTTTGGTGTCTATCTACTGCATAAAGAAATGAGCATCGACGTGAAACTGAACCTTGATGTGCCTGTAGTTTGATGAACTCAGCATCTTTACCATCGTGGTGTCAGTGGAAGGGAAAAGGTAGGAGTTTGTGGTGTACATTGCGACTGTTGACTAGAGCGATGCAAAATATTTCAAGTAAATAATTATTATTAAAGTCAACGTGGAAGTAATCTCGGCAAGTAAGCTCAAGCACCCTTGCTATATAATTTATCTTCTATGAGAAGTATGCATTTTGATCGGCTGGTAGAATTTGAATGACAAAAAAAATAAAAATAAAAATAAATAAATAATGCCTCTTAAGCATATGAACAATGTGGAAGTAGAGAATGTGAATTGCAGTTGTGAGTCAAACTGCCTGAGTTTGGGCAAAATCATGCGTAATAACATGCAAATACTATGATGTTCAGAGGGATTCTTTATCAGAGAATACGGCATTTGCAGACTAGTAAGCCGCTCCCTCAACGAGAGCGGTTACTTCCTCGATCATCTGAGCAGGGCATATCATTCACTGAATGTCAAGTCCCCTGAACTACATTTGAACTTCGTCGAATCTTGCAGCAAGGGATTCATGATTAATGTACAACATATGATGATGAAGGGCATAGAGAATCCTGAAGGCACCTTCAATAAATATTTATATTGCTGGCTGTAGTGCTTGGGCAGCTGGAGAGAGTCAACGCCAGAGAGTAGTGATCTCCTATTACTGAATGAAGGTTTTCTAGATTATACATATGTAGGAGAAGCTTGGTGCTAGATGATGTTACAGAAGCAGACATACGAGCCGCATGTTGGAATGCAGTTGGCAGTGTCGATTCCTGAAAATAGAAGTTTTAGGAAGTTGTGCCGAATCAGTCTCCAACAAACTGAAATGGATGTCAAACGGGACTGTTTGCGAACAATAGCAATGGCTGTCAGACACCACCTTTTTGCTGGTCAGGGAGTTTGTCAAACCGAGCTCCGAATCTTTGGTAGTGAAGGGAAGTTTCGCAGACTTGGAGAAAAGCTTGGGAATCTGTCCTGCGGGTAATTGGTTTCTCAAGCGCCCCGAAGTTATGCCGGGGGAAGGGATCCTCAAATTTATTTATTCCGGGACAGCATAAACGTGAATACCGGGATCGCATGAAACGACTTGCTCCTCCTTGAAGAAAAATTGCCGAGCTTAACATTAAGTTTTCGATTTTTCATCCATTGCAATCTGCAGCTTCTACCGCACCTCTACAGACCTTTTGCACGGACATGAAATTGTAGCCCTGCATACCAATTAAAGCTACGGAACCACCACACAATTTCAGAAAATTTAGTAGTATCCCTAGTAATGGTTGAGCAATGAATGCTACTTGTGTTAAGAATAGTTGGTTGAGTAGAAACATATCTTTGTTGTGGATTTCATAATTTGTGTTGAGTGGGCGACATAGTTAGCTTGATCTTCAAGCTAACAACATGTGTGGCACATGGCCAACTTGTTGACCACGTTTCTAATCCAAAAAGTCAATTAAAGACACCTATGAAGTCAAAGCAGCGTCTAGGAAATTTCTAGGAAGCTTTTATATTAAATATTATAGAATTAACTTACTTTTACCTACTTTTACTTACTTCTACCTATTTCTATATGTAATTATTAGCTTACATGATTATGGGCGTGACAATGTGCTACACATATTATTAGCTTCAAGACCAAGCTAACTATGTAACCCACACATAAAAAAACTTGCCTTATAAGTCAAGGCATTTGTCTTACAAAGTCAACATACATTAGAAGTCCCATAGAACATTGCCACATAGCCCCTAGTTAGATAGTATATATAGAAACAAGAGTGAAGCCCTCTTCATTCTTATCAACTCCTTTCTTGCTTCTAGTCTAGTTTCAAGAGTTTTAAGTTTTCTTGTCTTTTGGCAATAAGCCTTTCCAGTTTCTTATAATTTATATACTTCCTAATCTTTATTTTGTCACTCTTTCTTTGACACAGATTTCATTGTTTATGCATCATCTTTTAGTTCTTGTCCTTGACACTACATCCATAAGAACAAAGATCTCAACACAACATAAGACCAAGCACACTAGAAGAAAATTGAAAGTATCTAAATGGCAATTGTTTGCACCAAAATAAAAGAAAATTTTACATGTATACATACTAGCATAAGAATAAATTTTTAACAAACAGAATAAAATTACACATTATATAATTGTTTTATTGTTTATAACTAGAAATCATAACTTTTTTAGAATTTTATTTCAGTTCTTTCATGTTTAAAGTTTTTTTATATTATATTTGATTGTTAAACTTACTGACAAGTATGATTAGTTTGTGTTTCAAATACAGTAGGCCAGACTGTAATATGGTGACCATGATGATTGTCATTATGAAAATCAACAATAATTAATCATTCATCTAGATTCTCAAGCCTTTTAGCATGCCATTAAAAGCTCTTTTTAATATTGATGTTTTATTTTTATTTTTATTTTTTAAGATTTATACATATGTACCTTCAAGAATAAAATCAAGGTGTACTATACAAAAAAAAAAGTCATTTTCATGAGAAAAAGAACAAAAAACAGGAAAACAAAGAAACGGCGGGTGATCGCTAGCGACGCTACGTCACCGATGGAAGATCCAAGCAGGTCCATTGCGGAATTAGATCACAGGTTTCACAATAACTATGCATGGTGTAAAGATGCTGTGAGGTGGGTCGCCTCCTCTTTCCGTTTCTTCGTCGCGCGCTGCGAAATTTGTGATCGTTGAGCAGTCCCGACTGGTTGCTTTCCCGCCGCTCACCGCATTTCTAAAGGAGGCTCTTGTCGATTTGCTTCGACAATGCTGGACACGCTTGTCGCCATTCGGACTTCACCTTAAGGGAGCCAGTTGCAATTGTCGGTCGTCCAGAAGTGGCAATCCCATCTCCAATTCTTCCGCTGACATCCTATCCCAAACTGGTGACTCATAGATCAACCAGCCCAGCTAGTGGGTTTGAAACGCGCAGCAACAGGCGGAGTTTCAGAGTGCAGTGGTGTAGAAGTATACTGGCGATGCCACTCGTTTGAGTCTTGAGCCTGTTGTAAGGCTTTCGAACGGGTTGCCAGTTATTGCTACTCTCGAAGAATCGCGTCCATTGTCATTTGGACCTGGCGCAAGTGGGTTTGTGATAACGAGTATGCTGTTTCCACCCATGCGTGCCTGTGTCACTTGTGCATGTTTAAAACATGTATGTGGCTTGAAACTATGGCTTGGCCCTCGCCACTGGAAAGAGAATATGTTATTTTGTTCTTAAGGTGCACTGCATCTGGAACTTGTGGGGGGTGCTTCTATGCGTGGTCACATCTCCACTCCAGTCCTGCAATGCGAACCCGACAATCAAGGGCTGGGAATGCCATTGACATGAGTTTACAACAATGCTGACGTTGTGATCCGAACTTTTCTGCTAAATCTCTGTCGTGGTGCTGAAGAGTTTGCCATTCCATTCAAGCAGGTCTTGCGAGATATCGAAAGGATACGAGGATCCAGTTCAAGTTTTTGTAGGGAGAACCATTTAGAGGTATGGAATGAATTTTCTGTATTCTATAGAACGCTCGATCTTCAATGCTGTCTCATCTCTTCAAACCAGAAAGAAAGATAGGGTTCTCGAATCCGTAGCCTCCCATCCCTCAGCCCAGTTCTTTTGAATTTTAGGGGTTCGCATATCCTTACTCGCAACACGTCTAGCTGGTGGGCTTGCGTTGCGATCTCTGTCCCCATTAATTTGGTTAATCTGACAACTGCCCGGTGCTGGAAGGTGAAAAGGAGTAGTGCTCTACTCAGGAAACTTTCGGATTTCAGCTCCGTAGATTGGCACGTTGAAACTATTCTTTCAAGAATTAATAACCATCGCAATGTCATTAATTTTACTGGTGTAAACTTGCAGCAGTGTCTTCGCCGCCATTATCTAGTAGGAGCAATTATTTCAAGGCTCTAAGACCGCTGCACTCTTTCTTCTGTTTGACGGGAATAAATGGATAACAGAAAAAATTTAGTCGCCGGAACGTAAGCTGGTCCGTGTTTCTAGTGCGACAGATTCGATTGCTTAGCAATGAACTGGAACGCTGCGATTTGCGCTACAGTCTTTGCTATGGATATGGTGCCACGCTGGTTGGACTACAATGTGGACAATGCATGGTGCGTGGGTGAACATCTCAAGGAGGAGAATAGAGATCACATCATATATGCAAATGACCAGAAAAACTTGACCAAACCCTAGATTTCTGTGAGGAGTTTTCTGATGTCTTGTGAGCTTCTCTCGACGGCAGGTATTACCAAGATGACAAGAAACTGAAGCATCGCTTTTGGGACTGTATCCTGGACCAAGATGGGTCGTGGTCAACAAACGATCAGCGGCGATGTTGAGATGTTGGCGGGGAGTTCCCCTAGGAGGGATTTTCTGAGAATGGACAAAAGGAAACTACTAACTGTAGCCCTGTGTGTCTCCTTCCTCACTCTTGTGGTAGTATCTTACAACATGTGCTTTGAGACTCCTGCTACCTCAACGGAAGCCATGGTTTTTCTTCAGGAAAAGCCCTTCCCGAATTCACTCGAGGTATGTTGTCTGTCGCAATTCGGACATGTTCATGAATTTCTTTGCACGGAGTAGGCAATTCGATGTAGTTCATCTGTAAACTCAGCTTGCTATAATGTAGCTTCTATCAATATATTTTGACGTTGAGGGGTTTCGACGCAGGAAGGTACAAATACCTCTTCATTCAACAGTGACACAAACGGAAGTGATTTCCAGGTGCAATCGAATGTGGAAGGCACTAAGAACCTCACAGACACGGATAATCCTGTTACAGGTCCAACAGAAGCTAGCGCAGAAGCTGATGCATTGGTGAAGGATACGGACGCGAGTGAGCAGGAGGAAACAAAAGAAGGAGATTCTGAGACCACCACAGACAGCTCGAGTTCAATTTCTGTAGAATCCAGTCCTCAAGTGGATGCAACGGTTGAACCACCGACAGAGATTGAGAGCCCAAACTTCTTGACTGGTTCACCTGTCGGGAATGATACCTCGAAGCAGAATGAAGATGATCTTTCAGACACGGAACGGTCTGAGTCGAGTGTTATTGCAATGGAGGGTCCGCAGCTCACTAATATCACAAGCCCAGAGAACCCAGGTGGGTACCCGCGACCTCATAACTTCAGAATGTTATTGAGCAGCTTCTATTGTATTCTGTCGCATTTGCTCGAAACAACAGTGATCCGCACGCAAGTCTTCCGACGGTAGCAATCAAGCTACCAGCCGCCAGGTCACCAGCACCTCCTTTTTTTTAGAATAGAAAGCACGTTTATGATGTGTAATATCACAGTTTCAAAGTTAATAAAACAACTGATGAACACCCGGGTTTGGTAATCTGCATTACTCATTATTCTTCTGTTCATAACGGAGATATTTCGATCTCTATGTCAGCTTATGCATTCTGAGGAAGATATCCATTCCTTTGCCTTATACCTCCCTGATAATATGCTTTCTTCCGTGTTGTAGGGGCCTGTGATTTGTTTGAAGGCAGTTGGGTACCAGACACACGTCCTCCCCAATATACCAACTCCACCTGCAAGTTCATTCAAGGGCACCAGGATTGCATGAAAAATGGACGGCCAGACACGGGGTACCTACACTGGAAGTGGCAACCATACAAATGTGACTTACCTAGAATTGACGCCCGAGCTTTCTTAAGCACCATGCGTGGTCGCTCTGTTGTTTTCGCAGGAGATTCCATTTCTCGCAACCAGTTTCAATCTCTTCTTTGTATTCTGTCACAGGTACTGCAATCAGTCTACAGTCTACTGCGTGCTTTTCATGGACTTGAACTCTGTTTTTTGAGAAAAAGACAAAATCTAACAAAGAGTGCCTGTTGTGCTTTGAAACACGTCTTCCATACAACTGCGCAACCAAACTCTCCTGTATGACTGTGCAGGCATTCAGAGATTCTTATTCTTATTTCTTCGCTTGAGCTCATGTCCATGCTTCGCGTGTTTCAGGCTGAGATGCCGTTTCTGAAGTACCAATCACCAGACGATAAAAATGTTGCCTATGTCTTTCCCTCAACGAACTTCACTTTCACAATCCGCTGGTCTCCATATCTTGTGCATGTGGAAGAAAAGCAGGTCACACGTTCGGACAACGAAACAATAACTGTGCCCTACATTCACATCGATGAACTCGATAAAAGTTGGGCTGACTATGCACCCGGCGCTGACATTCTGCAATTATCCACCGGTTTGTCATCATCATCTCAAAGCTAAAGTTTATGTTCTCACAATTTGCTTTCGTATCAGGTTGACTGATTGCGATCCTGTGAAGGAGGCCTTGTTTGCAGCTTTTGGGGACATTTTTCATGTGGGTTGTTTCATGATTTTCAGGTCAATGGTGGTTTAAGCCGGGCCTGTTCCTGCAAGGCGGTCAACCCATAGGTGGTCACACATGTGATGGATGGGAAACTGAATGCAAGGAGATTGGCTTCTCTGACGCTTACCGCACGGCCATACGTAACGTCTTGCAGGGTATTCTATCGATACCTGGATTCACTGGCTCCGTTGTGTTCCGATCCTTTTCTCCTGACCACTTTGAGAACGGAAGGTGGGATAACGGTGGCGAATGCGTGCGCACTACACCCGGAGGGGTGGCCATGCACTACGTAACCAAGTGGATGCTTGACATTCAAAAGGAAGCATTTAAGAACGTTACAGGTATGTGCATAGCGAATTCTCCTCTCATTGTAGGCAAAGACTAATAGACGTGACCGACCTTTATCACCCAGCTTGTCAACGTGTTAAGGATCTTACTAGCAAGAGGACAGTTTTGCCGTCACCGTGTTCCATCTCCATCTCCTTCTCTCTGCATTAACCTTTAATGTCTGACGACGGTGTATAGGTACTTTAAATGCGGCTGACAAGCTCCGAATTAAGATGTTGAATGTCACGAACATTGCTCAATTTCGAGCCGACGCTCACCCAAACGTGTACAGGACGTTTCAACCTTACTCAAAAGAGCACCAGGGATTCGTCCAGAAGGATTGCCTGCACTGGTGCCTTCCAGGTTCCATCGACACATGGAACGATCTCCTCGTGCAATCGTTGCAAGATGTAATACATCGCTGATGGAATTCTTCGCCACCACCAGGTTTTTACTCCACTTCTCTGTGTTATCCATTCCGATTGCAGGAAACCTGCTAAATCCGGCACACCGAACCATCCAAAGGGAGACCATATCGACAAATGGGCGAGTTGACACTCTTTGAAAGTGCATGATGCGTAAGCAATTCTGCAGACGTTGAAACCTAGAGGGAAGTTGGGTGATGAAGATTGCCCACCTCCAATAGAGAAGCGAGTCCTCGTAGTTTAGAAAGGCACTTAAAGCCTCATTTGGATATTCTGATAGAATGTAGTCATTGTACAATTTCTACGGCAAAGCTGCAGCGCCGAGCGTGCCGAGATTGCTCTGTTGTGCAAAGCCTTGAGTCTTACGCCGTCTTCACGATTCATGGTTTGTAACGCACAATTTGCTTGATTGTGATCAACACAAAATGAGATAGACTGGATTATATGAAGACAACTCTAGGATGTGAATGAACTCGTGAATAGGTGGATTTATTCTTCAAAGTTTGGTAACTTCTTCACATCCAAGTGTCGATCCATATGTGTAGAATATCAACACCGTGTGTATCTTAATGAAGTGAATGTATTTTTTCACTTTCGTAGAGAGTTGGTGTTTGGAAGTAAAAAACACATCAGTTCAAGGAACCAAAGGATGATTACATTTCTCTGAGTTTTTTTTAGTTTTGTTAACAAAGTGACCTTTGAGCAGTGTGTAGCATGGTTGTTATTTCAGAACTAAGATTTGAGTTACCAAACTCTTTAGTGATAATTTGTAGTGTTGGTGCAACTTATTGTCTTTTGATAGTTTGAGGTCATTTCAAACAAGTTTTTTTTCTAATGTATTTTGGTAAAATTATCTCCAAGTTTGACCCAATGAATAACTATTATTCTATGGATTGTCACCCACTATAGTTGTATTTGGGTGAATCTTCATTTGACATGTTGAGATTAAAATCTTTCAAATGATAGTAAATATTAGAGACTACATTTAAGTATTACAAAAAATTCTCTTTATTATGAATTTAGGATTCAAAAACAAGCTAGTAGGTGAAGATGATATTCCACCTTGGATATTGATTTTTGAAATGCTACATTTTTTTTATTATTAAAGTCTCTACTTGGATTTATTATCCTCATTTGATTTAAATAATCAAGTAAATAAGTATATGAAAAAATTGCAGCTCTATGTAACTCTTAATTTGAGTAAACACCTATTGCAAACATTGGTCTTTATTTGTATCTAAAATTAGAAGAGATTCTTCTTAGCATTATTCATGAAATAGACATGCCTTTATTGGAAACAAATTATTGTTTAATAATTTAAATACCTGAGATTATCTTTTGAATATTTACATTTAATAACATCTCATTGTTTATATAATTATTTCTGTATTTTCAAAAGAAGATTATTAATAAACTAAGTATTTTTGAATAATATTAGAATATTAAAGTAATAGAATAAATTTGTAATACAAATAATTTTATAATAATTTTGCAAAATCATGTTTCATTTTTATAATGTAATATTGTCATCAACCATTATTGAGTTTATTTCAAATATTTGTTGGCTATATTTTATTTTTGCATATAAAAACATATTTTAAAATAAATTAATATATTTAAAATATAAATAAAAATTTTACGATATTACACGTTTTAAAATCTATTATTACTATTAATAAAATTATTTAAAAATTAAATTTTTAATCTTTTTTTTATGTACACACACACACACACACATATATATATATATATATATATATATATGTATTATTTAGATAAAAATATTTAGTACATAATGATCATTCTAGATAAAAATTTAGGATATAAATAAAATCATATAAGAATACCTTTAATTCAAATTATTATAAAAGATAATGAAGTGAATAAAATAGTATTAAATTTTACTAAGAATTAAAATGTCTAACAAAATTAGATATATTAATGTATTCAAAGAAAGTAGAATTTGTCCAATCTTTGACTTTTAGGCTTAATAAAAATAAAAAATTTAAAAACCATCAACTTAATTTTGGATTCAATATAAATTTTCCAAATTGTAGAGAATTCAATGGTGGATTATTAGTCATAACTTTTGTTATTGAGTATTAGTTAATTTGTATATAATAATATGATATTTTTTAAAATATAGATTTAGATTTGTTTATTTTCAAATAAAACACCATTTTGGAATTTTTTATAAAAATATAAATGTAAAATATTTTTTTGAGATACTTTGATAGTTTTACATACAAAGAATGCACTAAATTCTCTTCAACTATTCTCTATTTTATCTTTAAGTGCCACAAGATAAATAAAATATAAGAAATATAACATGCATGTTATTTCTTATATTTTATTTATATTTCTTATATTTTATTTAGTCAAAGCTTTTTATTTCATTATGCATGTTAATTTAACAAATATTGGTAGAAAAAGAATATGTATTCAACCTTATAGACTATATTATTACTTTGGAGATTGGGGCAGAACGTTCTAGCACTATACACTTTCAAAGTCATAATAATTTTAAAGTGTTGTAAAGAGAAAATATGGATTAAAGAGGTTATACAATTGTGAACATCAAATTTGGAGAAAGGATCAAAGAAAAATGTTTGGAGAATATTGCAATCTATCAATTAGAAAATTATGCATTGCACTAATTTTAATACCTTTGAATAATAACATTGTTGTATCCATTTAGGAGATTAAATTTGGTACAACGTTTTTAGAAAAAAAAACACAAAGTTCAAACTAATAGTACTAATTTCACTTTTAATGCTTCTTCAAGTAAAATTAAATTATTATAAACAATAAAGCTATTGTCAAAAGTGGTATTAGTCTTTGAAATTATTATGACTTTGAAAGTGGTGTTGTGATTGGTATTGACTTATATAAGATAGAAGGTGTTCAATTTCTTTGTATGATAGTTGAGTATGCAAACATGAATATTATAAAGATATGTACTACATTGGGATGAAGTGAAGATGGAAAGAATTATAAAATTTAGGTAGTTTCCATGTTCATATGCATCCACAATATAACACTCTTTGTATCAAACAAAGCTCAACCTATCAAGGTCCTAAATTGAGATGCAAGTACTCAAAGTTGTTATGTTACAATGTAATGAACTTGGACAACATATCTTAACAACACTATATTCTTTTAGAATCTAAGAAACAATGTGCTTAGATTGAAGCTACATGAATCAAATTTGGAATATTGATTTAGATTTTAAAGTAATAATAGATTTATCCACTGTACAATGTTCATGCTCACCCTGAATCTACGGATTAGGCCGCCGAACAAAGTGATCCACAAGGCAAGAATCTGGGGTACTTTCAGTCAATGTGCACAGCGAGATGCCTCACTTGCACAGATGGTAACATTCGTGAAAATGAACAAGTCTTTTTAATCAATTCGCCTTCGGTTCGTTGTGCTGTCACTCACTCGTACTTCGGGTGGTTCAAATCTGAAACTCTGTTCTCATTCTACTTTTCGTTGTTTCTTTCCTTTTTTGGCAATTTTACAGGCATTTATTGAAATTCATGACACGTTGCGAAGTTCTACACCTGTTATTCTAGCTAGTGTGTGTGGGTTTGAAGCCTGCGTTGGACTTGGGTTCTGGATTGCTGTCATTGACAAGATTCTTGCAGCAGTTGCAGGATCGTAGGTGTGGATGAGATTGTAAGAATTGAGAGAGAGAGAGAGCAGCGCGGATGCAAGAATGAGTAATAGGGCAGTGGTTCAAACGGGCTTTCCAGGCGAAGACGAAGGATCTTTGGAACTGGTGCAACGGCCCATCCCTCGAGCATCTCCAGGGACAGTGGTCATTCGCCTCACCACGCGTTCTGTCAATCCCAATGACCTCACCAACATCCGTGACAACAAATTGAAGAGTTTCCAAGATGAGCACCACCCTGTCATCGGCTCTGAAGGTTGCGGTCGCATCTTTGAGGTATTCCAATGTCACAGCGTTTCACTTTGCCCTGGAATTGTGTAGCAACGTAGAATTGTCCGGATTCCCACTATTTCAATCATTCAATTTGGTAGCAAAGTAAGTTCCTTTTTTTATTGTTGTGAATCCTAGGGTTTTAGGGTTTTCATTCCTGCTCTAAATGCGGTTGATTCAGGTGGGGAAAGGAGTGACAAAATTTAAGATAGACCAGCGGGTGGTGCCGGTGTTGTACTGGAAGTACTACCTTGGCAAAGGCGAAGGCGCTTGGCAGGATTATATCGAAGTAGCGGAGGAAGACGTTGTTGCGGTGCCCAGCACTGTTTCGGATGAATCCGCGGCCCAGTATCTCATCAACCCTTGGACTGCGTATGGACTTGTTACAGAGATTGATGTGCCTGAAGGAGGTTATCTTCTTCAGACAGCTGCAGCATCGACAATAGGCCGGTATGGTGTCTTAAGATATACGGTGTTTTGGCATACCGGCGATGCTTCACTTTCGAGCATCAATTTCAGTCTCATTTAAGACTTTGATCTGAATTCTCGGCAGCATGTTGTCGCGTGTGTTAAATCTTACGTGGTTGTGCAACGAGTGGTATCTAAAGCTGTTTTTTGACTATCCATTTTGTCATTTTAGCACTCTTGAAGTTGCGATCTGAAGCAAGGGCACATCTGAGGCACTGATAGAAATGGGAGTGCAGGCAAATTATTCAGCTGTGCAAATTCTGGAAAATCAAGACCATTAACGTGGTGCGAAGGGACGATTGTATTTCGGAATTGAAAGAGATCGGAGCTGACGAGGTTATCAACTCCAGCGTTGAAGGTACCCGTCCATGAACGAGGAATGGCGAAAACTTCTGGAAGTAGCAATTAATCGAACAACCTCCATTGTCTATTACACATACTGATGTGCTTGTCCTGTTTCCTAGATGTCGTGAAGAGAGTGAAACAAATAACAAACGGAGCAGGAGTTTACGCTGCCGCTGATGCTGTCGGAGGCGTCCTAACCAAGGTTCTATCCCCCACCCTTCCACTGCCAAGCAAAATGTAACAATTGTCCCGTCACTGGAACGACTTCGTCATTGTTACTTGCAACATTGGCAACGCACTAACAATAGCACCTTGTAAAGAATCTGCATCATCGATTTCTGACTATGTTATTGAATTGTTGGTGCTCGACTTGCACGTGTTACTGAAGGCCTCTACACTCGAATGGATGCAGGATGTAGCTGCGAGTGTACAAGATGGAGGGAAAGTTTTTGTGTATGGCACACTGGGAGGCTGGGACATAACTGTAAGCAAATTGGATCTTATTCGTAACGTTGAGATCAAGTATTACCGCTTGACTAGGTGGCTGGAGAAAGGGAATAACAAGGAGAAGGTGATGAGGGATGTTATGAGATACTTAGAAGCAGGAGTGTTGGTGCCCAATTTTGGGAAGAAGTTTGACTTGGAAGATTTCAGAGCGGCCATTTGTGAATCTGAGAGACAAGCAAGAGGAGGTAAGGTTTTACTTGTGAGCTGACCTCACCCTAGGTCCATCCCTCATTGTTTTTTGAACATAATCAGCTGTTGAGAATGAATTCTCAGGTAATGACTCGAGCAAAATTGGGTCGTAAGCACCGCATTCATGTGAAGGTATGCCAAGCAGTTCGGAACCATCTTGTTCTAAGCTTGCATGTAGCGTAATTCAACTTGTGGGCTTAGCATTGTTTGGCTTTCATTGCTTAAGCAATATGGCTCTCAAATATAAACTTGTGCTGATCCTGAATCCCACACAATTTTCTACACATAAATTTACATTCAACGCCAAAGGATTTTTTTAAAGAAAATAAATTAAATCAGTTTTTATTCAATTTTCAAGTCAATCAAATAGTTTCTTTTATGTTACAAATACTGTTAAACTGGTGTTTGTTTATTACTTGTTTGGAAGCAAGGAGTTTTTGTGCACCACCACTTTTGACTTTCACTCTACTTTGTATCAGTACTTACTCCATGTTTACATTTATATTTAAGAAATCATTGTTCAGAATTTCGTTTGAAATATATAAAAAAAATTCTATTGCACATTTTGAAAACATGTCATATCTTAATGGTTAATACATTGTATACAAATTTAAATAGCAATTTTATTATCATATTGTTTCATAGTTTGTGCATATATTTATATATATATAGGTATATAATTAAGTTTCATCTCAAAGACTTGTGCATTATATTGCATAGTTACCTTACATAATTAGTATAGTATTTTTCAATGCAACAATTAATAGTAAATATAGATATAAATATAAATTAATTCTAAGTTGTGGAACAGAGAATCTTGTATCATTATTTTTAAAATCAAAATTAAATGTTACCAGATTTTATTAATTATATATATACAAATACACAACTGAAGAGGTTTGTTTTAATTTTATGTTTTTTACTTATCATATATTTTATGGTTTAATTGCATCAGACTTATATACTCATTTATAATACTAATGAGCACAATAAATAAGTAAACAAAGAAGACTTGCATTCAGAACTTGCATCAAATAAGACAACAAGAGCACTTTTTTGCAAAATAACGTATATTCAAGTCATGAATCGTAAGTACACAAAGTTGTAACCATTGCCCACAAATGCTCAATAATCACCAATCTCATCTTTGCCACTCTTCATGTCCCTCCACGAATGTGAAAATAAAATTGCAATGTGCTCCACGGTGAACGAAAGTGGATGAATTCTATCCGCGTCCATGGGACCAGTAGCTTTTTCGTCCATCCGTTGGGTTCGGAGGGCCTCCCATGGCCGCGGGTGTGGCAGTCCAAGCCTCTCCTCGCAACGCACACAGTCGCGGCGGGGTTGTGCCAATCCTCACTCACTCGGAGCTCCTCTTCATCCGCATCCTTCACGCCAATTCTGGTTTTGCTGTCGCATTTAAGCTACAGCCAACGCATTCAGTACGAGTCGAGTGTTTGTGCAGAGGTGGGTTTTCGTCTTTTGTTGGGTTTTGAGGACGTGGGCCGACGAGGGTCACGAACAAGTTCGGAGAAAGATTTAGCGGTTTTGGGGGGGGGGGGGATTGTATTTCGGAATTGGAAGCTGTTTTTTGGATTCGGATTGAGGTTTTTGGTTTTCGATGCGAGGCTCAAGTGGAAATTGAGGCTGTGATTGGTGTGTGCTGGTATCGGTGGTTGTTAATTTCATAAGAATTCGTTTTGTGGGAATTGTCTTGGTTCGGAGTCAGGGAAGGGGTTTTGCTCATTTTGCTGTTTAATCGTGGGTCGCGCTAGTGAATTAGCGGTTGATCTTTTTTTCTTTTTTTATTGTGCTCTTTGGGAGCGGCGCAGGAAATGGCTATGGCTGCTGTCTTTCACACCAGTCTGCCAGTGTACTCTGCAGTTTCTGCTTCTCAGATATCTTCACACCATGGAGTAGAATCCACTGCTGGCTCGCAGCTTGGGCCCGTCTCTTCCAGGCATAGGACTTCTTCTAGGTCAATCTCCAGAGCTGCGAGTCTGTCATGTGCTTCATCCCTCGGTGGCTCATCGCTTGCACCAGCATTGAAGCAAACCCGAAGAAGAAATTCTAGTTCATATGGTGGAGCTGTGTCCACGCGGTGCGAGTCATCCTCGGACGAATCCCCTCCCGAAAAGGTAAAGTACGGTTAATTCTTGTGGCGATTCGTCATTCAATTTACAGGCCTGAAAAACTAAAATATCTTCTCATGGATCAGATTTGGTGGTTTCTTCTGCCTTTCTCCGTCTGTCTACGTTTGGCAACATATCTGTAGGCACAAGGAACAGAAAAATCCTAGGCATGTTGCACTTTCTGTGTCATAATCACAGTTATGAGTTTTGAGATCGCTGTTTCAAGCTCATAAGCGTGTAAACAATGTTATGACCTGCTGGCCAACTACTTGTGCTCGCTTCGTCATGTGCTCACCTCTTGATATCACATAGTGCAGATCCCATTTGGTTACACCAGGAAGGATGTGATACTTATTGGAGTCGGCCTCACTGCTTTTGGCGTTGGCCTCAAGTATGGTCTAGAGGTATCCTCTTTCCTTCTCCTCCAGGTCTACTATCATCATAGAAGCATGTTATGCAGGTATTATATTTCAAGCAATGTGCATTCCCTCTCACAACATGCAAGCCATAGTAGTTCTACAATTCTGTCATGCGTTACTGCTGCTGGAAGATCTGGTGACAATACAGAGGATGCATATACCTTATCATCACGTTGGGTGCAGTTTTTTGGAGTGGATCCGCTGAGAGCTGGCAACGTTGTGCAAATAATCATGGTGGCGGGTCTCACAATTGGGTGGATTTCAAGCTACGTTTTCCGGGTGTCGAATAAGGATATGACCTATGCCAAACAGTTGAAGGATTACGAGAACAAAGTGATGGAGGTAACTCCTTTGATTGCACTCAGTGACTAAAATTTGTGATGCCTTTGATGATGAGCAGTTATATGAATTGATCAGTGAGTTGATGCCGCATATGAGTGTCTGTGAGGGTAAATAATAGGTCTCAAGGTGAGGTTGACTGGTTCTACAGAAACGATTGGAGGAGCTTCCAGAGGCTGAGCTCGAAACCATGCTTGCACAAGTTGAGGAGGAAAAGATCCGATTGCAACAAAGTCGAGAGAAAAGGGGATTGTTCTAGGTTTTGTTCATCAAGTCCTCTGAGTTTTGTTACACATGTAGTTGTTTGATTCAAAGGTGGAAGACAAATGTGTGGATTGAACAATTGACGCAGCTACGCATATGAATCATCTTTCAATCGAACTTACATGTAGCTTGTCTAGATTTTTTTAATTTCTAATTTTTAATCTTTTTTAGGGTTCTCAGAAGATCAACATCACTCAAAGTTCTCCACTTTCCAATATAAATTTATTACACATCATACCATCAGTTTTGTAGTGTATTATTTCTTCAGAGTGATTTTTTAAAAATTTATTCTTTAGCGTTATACTTCTTCTACTGAAGGCGATTTGATGGATACAGAAAGAAACTTGGATTGCTGTGAAATTAGCAACTTCAATAATGCTATGTTGTGTGCAATGTCTTCACATAAATCATCTTAAAATTTGTCTTCATTTCTTTTTACAGATTAACAAAATTTATAAAATCACACAAGATATTTATTTTAAAATTATTCATCCATCTTTAATTTTTTGAATAATATTATTGCATTTTATTTTCGAAGATAAGCTTAAATGAATACCAAATTCATGTAAAGCTTCTCAAAAATTAAAATTGTTGATTCTTTCCCACAATTCTCATTTCTGGACCTCCATGGTTTGTTGAAAACATAATAACAAACTAAAAATATCATGAAAAAAAATTATATATATGTACCATCTAACTCAATTAAGTATTAATGCAATCTTATAAGCAGAGTTGTATACATGGAATTCATGCATAATCAATAGTTTTGCATATGCAAACAAAACATTCAAAATTTTTTATGGTTAATGTTACCTTTAATTAAAAAAATCATATTATATTCATATTTGTACTCAATGTTTTTTTATTTATTTAAAGGTTTGTACATTTCTATAAAATCAATCTATTTTTTTCTATATATTAGTATGTTATGATTTGCTACCACTAAATATTTTTGATTTAATATGTTGGAACTTGATTGTCAAATTTTTTTGTGATGTTGCACTCAATAGAATACACAAAGAATTTACATTACTGTAAGATGTACAAGTCAATTTTTTTAAATCAATATTGTTTAGACTTATGCAAACCACCTGAAGCTTTCAATTTTTTTGGCAAACTTTCTATAACTGATAATCCAGTAGCAAAAAATTCTAAAAAATTAAATCACTGATTTTGCATGTAACCATAAAAAAATGTATGTAAAAAAGGTTAATCAAATGTAAAATAATGCACTGGCAAGGAGAAAAGCGTTTATGTAGATTAATTCCCATAAGCATTATACACATGCTTCGGTATAGTAATTCCATTCACTCTTGTATAAAAACCAGCTCCTCCAACCCCTACAGCCATCTTCACATGTGTGCCGCTTTCGGCGCCGAATACATACTTGAGGTCCTCAGGATTGTGCTTGCCCAACATATATTGTTGTATGCATTGTGATACATCTGCAGTCTGGTTTAGGGTTGATTTAGGGTAGATAGGGTGCAGTCTAGCAATTTGAGTAAGCATCGGCTGACTTGTGGGTAGTGCATCCAGAAGTATCACCGACTCTGCGGATATATTGTCGTGTGTTGTGGTCTTCTAGATGCTTATGGGGCTAAATCTACTTGAGCCGGCTTTGCTAGTTAGGTCAAGCTCTTGAAAGCCACCGAAGAGTGACGTGATGCTTATAGCCCTGCGACTTCGAACCATAACAGCGATGGGGTTACGTACATACACTACAATATCATCAATGACTAGTTGGGTACTAGAATTCTGTAGGAATGAGTGATTTTTACGGTGCCAAGGTTTCCTTTGGCATCTGTCAGAAGACACTTATATATGACCTTGCAGTTCATCCAACATGCTTGGTATTCAGATGTTGTCAAGCTTACGGTTTTGTGACTGCAACACTTAGTTGTTGTCCAACGAGATACAACCTTCACGATCAATCTCGTATTGTCCGTGTTTTTCAATTACTCTCGAAGAGTGATGCAAGGTTATAATTCTTGTGCTTTGTTGTAGGCGCAGGATTCGCTCTTATGCTACATTTCAGGTCTGTCCATAAGCGGAGTTGTCACTGAGTTTAACAGATTCTCTGTGGGTTACGTAGTATTTGTCTCCTAGAATGTCATGGTGATGCTGGATTGTCTTCACTGATGAAAAAGGCTCCTGCAACACGCTTGCAACGAGTATCTACCATGATTCACTAGGACTGAATTGCCTTTCTTCTGGGATGTATATCACGTCTATCTTACAGGGTTGTTGATGATCAATCGATTATGGTATGTCGTGATTACTTTGACGACCACAAAATTTGACTAGGACGAGCTGAGACCTTGTGGTATCCAACTGAAGTCTTGTGGTCATTCAGGCGGGTGATGTCAAGCATAGTTCACATGAGCCGGGCTGCGGCGCTTATTAATCTAGAAATTAGTCTTTTGCTCCTATCTAACGTCTGGCTTACCGCTGAATAATTACTTATACGTGAAAATGAGTAATCTGCCCCATACCGAGTCTGCAGCAGTCTTCCCTTCCATGGAGGAACTACTGCCGCATAGGGCACAAATTCACGCTCACTAGAAGATGATGGAAATGTTCTCGGTTTTTTTCCTCCACATGTGCGAGCTATATCTAATCTTAACTGAATGTGAACCTGATAGGATTCTCCACAAGACCCCGTGGACCAATTGTTTTTAGAAAATTTAATGATGAATTAATCTGTACATGTTCTTGGTAATACCTGAAAATTACATCAATGAGCAACCTTGTTCTCGATAAAAAAAAACACTATCACCCTGGTCGATACACCGTTGAAACCAATGAGCAGATGAACCCAGGATGTCATCCTGGTACAATTCATAGATGGCATTCATGAACGAAAAACTGGTCCGAAGGAGGATTAGGAAACTCATAATAACTGCAGTAAGAACGCCACTTCCATCTACTACATTATCAAAGCACAACTGCGTGTGATCTGTTGGAAATCTCAACTTCCAAGCGGTCGGAAGAGGTGGAGGAGAAATTTTGTTCTTCAATCTCTTAGTCTCTCTGTTTTGTCTGTTGAAATTCCGAGTGTGGTGTATATTTCAGTACTCTCCAGTGAGAACATTGGCATACAAATATTTTTCTTAGAGTTTCACTGAAAGAATTTCTCCTCCACCACTGAAGGCCGTTTGTCTTGAAATGTCATTCATCATCAATAAATCGGTGTTTGTCCCGTATTTCCAAATACATCCTGTAAAGTGAAAATAATCTCTTTGTTAAGTGAAACAACAATAATATTCATTTTTGTGATTGTCCTGTTAAGAGAAATAACAACAATATTCATTGTCATATTTGCCTCGTTGTTTTATTTACGTTGTTAATGATGGTTACTCTTGTTATTATTGACAAGCCCAAACTACTTACTTATAGCTGACTAACAATTTTGTCATTGCTCTAATCTTTAAAACTTTTTTTAACAAATGATGCTTGAAAATAATCACTTAATTTTTAAAAATCATTACATATCATGTGTATTTTTTATACGAATACATATTTAAATTCTTTGTAGAAAAAGAAAAGAAAAAGAAAGCATCAAACAAGGTGAATGAAGTCTTTATAAGACTCTACAAGGTTGCATCAAATTAAGTGAATAGAGCCTCAAAAAATAAATCCTAAAGTAACATAAAACCATAATAAGTTGCCACAATGTATTCTCTAAAACAATAAATCTTCTTGCCATGAGAGCCAATTTATCATTGTATCCTTTTCAAAGATACTTGGAAATAACATTATACAACAATTCCTTGTAGAAAAGAGAAGAAAGAGAGGATTCCAAGGAAACAATGGGAGGCAAAGTCCTTGACTTTCTACCGTAGCAGCACTGCATGAGTTCTTACTAAACAACCCACAAATCAATTTTTTACTCCATTATAGTGTACTAGCGAAAACTTGTGACATTGGGCAAGGAAAAGTTATTTACAGATAATAAACTGGAGGTCTTTTTGCAGGTTACATAAGACTTGCTGATTAACAATTTCTTTGATTTCAGTTAATGAGAAGACTTCTTTATCTCTTTGTCTTATACCGAAGCTTTCTAGGTAATAAATTGGAGAGCTTTCTGGAGGTCTTTCTGCCAGTTAACGATTTCTTTGATTTCGGTCAATGAGAAGGCTTATTTATGTGTTTCTAAAAACCCCTCAAGCCTCACACCCAAGTAGAATTCAAAAACCCAGAAAAAAAACAAACAAACAAACAAATAAACAAACAAACAGGAATAGCAAAGAGAAATGGGGATGAGAGCGAAGCATTCCGTAGGCATCATCGCGGCACTGGTCAAGGGCTGATGCGGAATCCGCGAGGAATTCCTCGCCATCCGCAGCAACATCAAAGCAACACCATCGTCGTCGTCGCTGACTGTGCTCCTGCTTCTTCTTCTTCTTCCGCACATTTCCTCTCGCAAAGCCACGCAGTTTCTGCGTCTGCTTCGTCCTCGTTGGGTAAAGTGTAGTCGTGATTGGCGACTTGTCATGTGTTGGCAGAATTTGGAATTTCGAGGCCGAGGGCCGCGCTTGGGAAGCGGTCGTGAGAGTGAGCGTGTGAAGGTTTGTGCACAAGAGCTTGGATGGGATTTCGGTTCCTGGGTTTGGATGAATCGGGCGCTGGTGATTCGGTTGGGCGTCCAGGGATTGGTGAGCGGCACAGCGGGAGCTGGAGCTGGGGATTGTTTGGGGGATCGGTGATTGAGATTCGAGTTGGGATTGAGAGAATTGAGCGAGTGGAGGGAATCGGCGACGAGAGCGATGTGGGGGTTTTCGTGGAGAGATAAAGTTGTGGAGATTTACATGGCTCTGGTGCCTATCCTCAATTGGTCTTTTACGCTGAGCTTCTTTCACGCTTCGCCAGTTTGGAAGCGACTGGGGTCGCATGCGGTGGCGAGTGAGAGTGAGAGCGAGGCGAGACGAGGTGAGGCGGTGGAGCAAGCGAGTGGCGTGAGCGATGAGAAGCGTGTGTTTCTGGAAATTTTTGGAGAGGTCTATGGGTACCCCGAGAGCTCCTGTCCTATCGACAAACTGCGGGCTACTGAATTCGCTAGATTGAATGGTATGCAACATGAAGCTGACTCCAATGTTAGTTCGGGTCGACCGCATTTGGCAATTTTTAAAGCTCTAATCTCGATCGAAATTCCGTTATTAAAAATAATCTTCCCGTGCAACCCAGGTGTCATTTCGGACGATTTTCAATTTAATGTGTAAGAGCATTCAGGGGTCTAAGATATGACAAGCGGGTCGGGGTTGTGGTAACTTTTTCAGGTGTTGTGTACGTCGATCACGCAGGAGCTACATTGCACGCTAATTCCCAATTGAAGGCAGCACTAGACGACTTTTCGTCTAATCTCTATGGCAATCCTCGTATCCTCTGCAAATGTACATTTGAGTACTTTTATTCGTGCATTGGAACTGCTGGCTAGCCGCTCAAGTTATTAGGGGAGGGATGTGTTGAGCATTTATTGTCGTAAGAATTTGCGTGTACTTGCTAACGAGATAGGGACTAAAAAGTTGATTTTTGAAATTTGAAAGGATTTTTGATGGTGAATCCTTGAGTGAAAAGCATTAGATAGTCAAAGTGATAGCAGCATGCGATCGTCGGATGCTGTGGAGACCGTGCGCCAGCAGGTCAGTGTCTTCTCGCTAACGTGGAATTCATGAACTGTCATTTCTTTGACCCCGCTCGAAATAGTGTTTTAATGTTCTACTTTGTAACCTCTGTTTTGTAATCATCACATGCAAATAGCTCAAATTATATGACAGAAGAGCAAAGTTCTCCCAAATTATGATGTAATTGGTTCACGATGTTTGAAACTCTTGACGGAAGGTTTAGGGCTTAGAGTATGGTTTTCTGGTGATGACCTCGTACGTGGCAGTTTGAAAGTTGTTTGAGGAGTTTTGTTCGCAATTTGACTGCTCTCAAAGTGCTTTAGGCTTTCGGATTAGGACATTGCTCTAATCTACGCAATTCCTGAATTTCGTAACAGGTTTTAGAATTCTGCAATGCTCCTTCTGGAGAGTATGTATGTGTTTTCACGTCAGGTGCGACATCAGCGCTGAAGCTTGTTGGAGAGACTTTCCCTTGGAGCCCAGAAAGCGAATATTGGTATACTTTGGAGAATCACAACAGTGTCCTTGGAATCCGAGAGTATCCTTTTAGAGTTTTAATTCTCAGTACTTAGTATTAAATTGACGTTGTCATGTTTTTGAGTTTCTTTTGTAAGGATTTAGAGCTTATTATGAGGTTTATGAGAAAGCAAATTATTCGACAGTAGTGCTGAGATGTCTCGTCCTGTATCTCTAACTTCAGCGTTTTTCGACCTTGCTATTCTCTCACCCTGGGAAGTTGTCATATTTAACTTTTACGATTTTCCATGGAATGTACCTACTGGTTTTGGTTTTGGACATTTTGTATCGTGTTATGCCTTCACAATAGCAGATATGCTCTCGAGAAAGATGTGGCCGTAACTGCGGTGGAAATCGAAGCAGCACAAACAAATTCGTCGGACTCAGAGGTGGATTTTAGTTTTACACCTAGAACCTTGGAGCAACGAGCACGTGCTTCTAGTCATCAAAGAAATAATCCTGCAGGTACAAAGAGCACCGTTGCCTTTTCAATTTTCGTCCATACTTTTGGAATAGTAGTATTTCTGCAGGTTGGCAGTTATTCAAGAGCTTGATATTCCTTTATTACATGGTGGTGAACAGAAGAATCAATAAATCTGTTCGCTTTTCCTCTGGAGTGTAACTTCTCTGGAGCGAAGTTCGATTTGAATCTTGTCAAGTATGTCCAAGATGCTAGACATGTGAGCAGCTCTTCCAGGTACTAATCCTCTAGCCATGGTTATTTGAATGTCAGGGCTTTTAAAGGAGTGTAGTCGAAATACGTTTGCTTTTTTTTCAATTTGAGTGTAGTGTGTAGATACTGTTCCAATGCTTATCTTTCTGCTCCAGGTATCCGTCCTTGTTTAAGGTTATTCAAGAATACTCATCTGATTTTATTCATGTAGTGTTTTCCTTGATATCAGCTATTTAATTGTATTGTTTGTAATTCTGCTTCTTGAGTATTGCACAGTATTTGTAAGTACAGAAGCCGTTTTTGTACAGAGGGAGATGGATGGTCCTTTTGGATGCCGCCAAGGGTTGTGGAACCGCACCTCCAGATTTGTCACGATTTCCAGCAGACTTTGTGGCCATTTCTTTCTACAAGGTTAATATTCAGACTCTTGAAAAAGCCCTTCTAAGCTGTGCTTTGTAAAATATCAACGCCATTACCAAGTTGTTTCCTTTGTTCATAATGTTCAGTACTCATACAGTGACTTACTTGACTAGGGTTTCTTTTACAAGGGCCCAAGTTTCATTTATGAACTTACATAATTAAGAGGAGGTTCTTAAATACTTTGCTCATAAACTTCTCTTGTTTTGATGTATTGATTGCAGATTTTTGGATATCCAACAGGCCTTGGTGCTTTGCTTATTCGAAGAGGTTACAAACTTTCGGTGTACTTTGCTTTGCTGTGAGAGATTCTTGTATAATTGCAACACATTCTTATAAGCTTACCTTAGATATTTGGGAAGTCTTTGTTGCTTTCTTGTTTACAATGCTTGTGATATTATTAGGAGGATATTAATTCTTCTTTAGAACTGATTTATACCCGCATTTTATGTGGGATGGGTTCCATCAGATGCAGCTTCCTTGTTGAAGAAGAAATACTTTGGAGGAGGTAAGCGTGCTATTAAAACCGTGGAAGTTGTTTTACATGCTCTTAGAAGGGGGTCTTCAATTTAGGTCAAAGAAAAAATTCATTTTCTAAGGTAGAAACTCATTATGGCATGCCAGATTGGCATATTTGACTTCTCTCCCTTCCAGTCTAGACATCTCATCGTAGACTTCGATCTGGTTTGCAGGCACAGTGGCCATGTCTATAGCTGATGCAGATGTGATGCGTAAACGAGATCGCGTGGAACAGTGGCTTGAGGATGGAACTACCTCATTCCTTGGAATTTCTGCACTTCGCCATGGTTTTGCATTAATCAACCGGATCCATTTGCCAAACCTGAACATGTATGAATGCCTGATCATCGCATGAGAAGCGGACGTTGCATATTGCAACATTTAAACTGTCTAATATATATATAGATGTGTGTGTGTGTGTGTGTGTGTGTGTTGTATTTCTAATTTAACCTTTTTGTTCTATCTCTCTCCCTCTCTCTCTTTCATTTGTCTGGGGTTCAGGTCATGAACTGATGTGTAACTACTGCATGTTACTTCTCTAAAATTCAAGAACCATGGTTTGACTTATTACGAAGATGTTCGAATGCAGAATATCTTACCAGCTAGGGTATTCACTTTCGATCATCTCGAAATTTATGAGTTCGATCAACTCACAATTTTCGGTTACAGTATCTGCTTAAAATTTTAGGTAACTTTGTGATGAAGTCTAAAGGGCCATATAGGCTTGGTCGTCTTTTGACATGAAATGTTTGGCAGGCATACAGGGGCATTAACCAAGTATTTTGCAAATACATTAGCCGGCTTAAAGCATGAGAATGAAGTTACTGTTTGCGTTCTTCATGGAAATCATGACCTTGACCGTGTGGTAACGATTTCAAACCCTAAACTTCTTGCTTTTTCTAATTTTCTCTACTGAGTGGTAGGTAGATATTTTTTAATTCAGTTCACTCAAATAGTGGTTGTTCTCAACCATTTCTGTTATGCTTTACTAGTTCATAGTATCTGACACGAAATCATTGATGTTCAAGTAAGTGATGTACCTTCACAAGTGAAAGACCAAGTGTAGAGTATGATAATCGCCTGTTTTGATGACTTGTTGACTATTATGTTATTTTCTTTTGCACAGAGTGCGCATATCCAGAATCTCTATTTCTGCATAACTTCGTTGCTGATTAGGAAAGGTTTGATTCGTTTTTTGACAACTGCTTTGACAACACACAGAAATATTGGGGTCAAGATTGCAATCAAGGACCTATTGTGACTTTTAATCTCAAGCGAGCAGATGGATCATGGGTAGGCCATCGTGAAGTGGAGAAACTTGCTGCACTTGAAAATATTCAGCTACGGGTATGGCTCATTTAAAAGAAAATAGATCTTTTTCTAGATCGCAAATTTTTGCACTGCAGCCACTTACCTTCCATTTGCCGAACTACCAGTATTTGCACGAATCTGTAGTTCCTGGTTTACTGTGCGTTCTGTTACTGGTGTTGATCTCAACTAATTTTATCCTCAAACCTTTTTCTCGTATTTTATCTATTTTTTGCAGACTGGCTGTTTCTGCAATCCAGGTGCTTGTGCAAAATACTTGGGGCTCTCACAAGAGGACCTTGTGGCTAATTTTGAGGTACATAAGTGCCGAGTATTATAAGTCTTCTAGTGAAAACATAAGTGTTGCCTTTTGACAGTGTTCTAGGAAGGCATGGAAGTTTAGTCCACAGTAATATTCTGGTAGTGTTCACAACGCATTCCAAACTGATGTTCTTGTAATGACATGAATTCTACACTGATGATGCAGTCTGGACACGTATGCTGGGATGATCAAGATGTAATTCACGGTCGACCTACTGGAGCTGTACGGGTTTCCTTTGGATACATGTCTACGTTTGAGGATTGCTGGGTGAGTATTAACCAATAAGATTATTATGATGAAGTCTCACCAGAATAAGAATAGAGCTGATGCCCTTGTCATCCTATTCGATCTATCTGCCCTCTTGTCATGTAGCTGACAGATTTAACCGACCACTTTTTATACTTTGAAATTTCAATTTTGAATAGTATATATATATTTTTATTTAAGGAATATTTTTCTGTTGCATTGCAGGTGGTAATCAAGTTCATCGTGAAGTATTTTGTGGAAATTAATAATGAATATAGAACAATTGGAGTGAAGACATCAAACTGTATCTCCCCTTCTTTGGCTATTGGTAGTTCTGCTGATTCAGGTTCAAATTCAGCCCCCTTTCTCGTTACTTTTACAGCATTTTTTATGGAATTGGATAGACCTAAAGCAATATATTGGGGTACTTCAACATTCTGACAGCACCCAATTTATATCCGGCTTGTTTTTCTCATTTCGATTAAGTTCAAACGATTTTTCATCGGTTTTGTCTATGAAAGTATTGGTAGCTTCATCGACAGTTGAAACTGATTATTGTCGTTGTATTCTCACAAGATTAAATGTAGAAATAATGGCTCCACTTACTGTCTTTTTACCTGTCCTTATGAGAGGGTCTTCTGTGGATCTTTCATGTTGTTGTACAAGGTGGGCTTGCGCTTTGGGTCCTTCTAAATTTCGGCTGTAGCACGACAGTTTCTTTTCTGTATTTTGAAATCTAATACATAGGAGATGCAATAGGTGTAAGGGTGAAAGATCACAATCTGAAGTGTATCCCTACCAATGGTGATAAGAATGATAGTCTGGGGCTGGACACAAAAATTAAAGTGGAAAATCTGGTGATATATCCAATTAAGTCTTGCGGCGGATTCAGCGCAAATGTTTGGCCACTCAGTGACTGCGGTGAGTTATGGTTATTATCCAACAATTTATTTTATTTTATTTTACTGTGTTTTGACATTGTTGAGAAGTAGCTTTCATTAACGATCGATTTCAACTTTTGTGAATTAATTGGCTTGGTTTGAACACCCTGGTTGTTATCATAATGATCGTTCTTTGGATTGTGTATGGTATTGCAGTTTTAATCAACATTGTGTATTGTGGATGTGCAGGACTATTATATGATCGTGAGTGGATGATTCAGAGTTCCACAGGAGATGTTCTCACGCAGAAGAAGCTGAATTCATTGTGTTCAATTCAGACATTCATCGACCTTACTACAGGTATTATGCATGTGAGGGCTCCAAGCATGCAACGTGAGTTGGCAATATCACTGCAATCAAAGCCCAAATGCACCACCTCCAATGGAGTAATGTTCTGTGGAAATAGGTTCTCATCTCATCTTGTGTCTTCTGCTTCACTAATCAACTTTGTTCCGTTCTGTGATCAAGTGAAATAGTTGAAATGGTATGAGCGATGTTTTGAGTGCTCTTTAGGAAAGTCTAACGTCAATTTAGACGACACTTTCATCTTTAGAAGTAGCACGTGTAATCGTGACATTTATTTGTTAACGAATCGATTTAAGATTCCCAGCTTGGATTTGAGCGTACTTTTCTAAATCGTTTTTCATAGTCACTTCCACCAGGGCTTTGTCATCGTTTTGTCTCAAACTGCCATAACTCTAGTAGGATTGGCTAATCTCATTCTGCATAGTTACTGTCTTGAATTTCCGGGTATAAAAGGTTTTACATAGGGTTTGACTAGTGATTTGGCTGGATGCCTATGCAGTGTGGAAGGCAACAGATATGGAGATGAGGTGGCGGCATGGTTTACGGAAGCTCTTGGAGTTAGTTGCACTCTAGTGAGGAAAGAGCCAAAAATACTTTCACTGAAATCTCGAAGGGGCCGATCAGTTTCTCGACAAGGTGACAGTAGTACACGTGAGTTGAGCTTTGCCAACGAAGGTCAGTTTTTGCTCGTGTCGAAGGCTAGCGTTGATGAGCTTAATCGCCGAGTTGCTGCATCACTACATGCGGGTAAGCTAATAATTTTTTTTTTTCGTAATTACTAATCTTTGTATGATTGCTCTTTAATTTCAATTGCATAACTTCATTAAAAAAACGAGAATGCTGTTCTGCCGAGCTTTCACTGAGCATGACGTGTCTGAACAGTTTTGAGATTAAGTTTTTTTTTGGTTACAATTTTTCTCAAAGAAAAATCTAATAATAAGCATTAGAGGTCTTTTGAAAAAGAATTTGATTCAGATGATTCTATTCATTTGAGGTTGGGTCAATAGAGCGTGTTATTGAATTTCTCTGCAACGTTCAATAAATGCTCGACGTTCATTTGGAAAATGGTATTAAGTACTGATCCTTTTGTTTGTCTTCGACTTAAATTGCAGATGCTCATAGTCAGGATAATGTATCTCTCCAGCAGCCATCGCTTATTGAAGTTGATGCATTGCGCTTTAGGCCAAACATCGTGGTTTCAGGATCTGCTGCTCACGACGAAGACCATTGGCAAAGTATAAGCATATGCAGCCAGAACTTTAGAGTATGTCCGAAAACTCTCCTCTAGACTCCAAGCACATATTTTCATGCATTGTTTCAAGTGTTATAGAAATCATAAGACCGATTGTTTCTCTGATGTGTCGCAATTGCCACGAATCTAATACGCTTGCTTCACTGCAGGTTGTGGGAGGCTGCAATCGGTGCCAAATGGTGAACATTGATCAATCTTCAGGGCTTCGTGAATCTAACCAGCCTTTGGCTACTTTGGCATCATACCGTCGTCACAAAGTGAGTGTCTATAGTTTGTGCTTTCCTTCTACCTTCATTTCCAGCATGACATTTTGAATCTTACCATTTTCAAGTAACACTCTCACCAGTCTCTGTACTAAAAGACTCTTCATTTGGATTTGCCTTCTGTTTCATTTGAACGTATGTACACAATCATGAAGTATTGCACGAAATTTATTCGTTTATATTGTAGTTCTAAGCAGCTCGTTAGGGTAGATGATCATAATCTCCTTGGGATTGCGTTTACAGGGACAGATAACTTTTGGCATCCTTCTTCAGCAATATAAATTTGACGTGGAGGATTCGAACTCAAAGTTATGTGACAATCCAGAAATAGAGTATACGAAGTGGCTCAGAACAAGATACACAAGACTGATATCCGTAGGGTCTAGTGTCAATGTTAATAAGCTTATTTAAATGTTCAAATTGCCATCATCCTGAAGAGGAGTTTTTTCTGCAAGTTAACTTATGTGAATCCTTTTACACATAATTACGGGGGATTTTTCTGCCTCCTCTCAAACAAAGCTCTCATGATGCAGTGCAAATTTGATGCCAGGTTTATTATACAATAATTATTGCTTTGATCAACATAATTTTTTGTTAACTACTAAAATTTCTGAGCTAGAATTTCCATATTGCAATTTTTTTTGTGAAACTAATAATATAAATCTTCTAGTTTTAATTTCTTAATTATATAATAATAATTAAATTATTAAAATATAGCATCAGAACGACTAAAAATAATGTATAAAAAATTACAATTAAATTTGAATCTGGGTTAATATTTTCTTTATCAAACCTTGATTTCGTACATTTTTACATTTTAAAACATCCCTGTACCCCCTTTTTTTCTTACCTTTTCTTTTTATCATAAAATTGTGTGCTCTTTGGAGAAACAGCGTGAGGTACAATCTCTGATGATTAAGTCTCCTGAAAGAGAAAGTAACAAAACTTAAAATATACATTTATGTATTGACATAGTCTTCATCTGATTCAAACGTCAATTTTAATTCGATGCTTGTCACACAATTTCCTTTTTATATTCTTCCAAAAAAAAGTGCTCAATATTCACATCCCTCCAAAGGCATAAAACGTCTTCATCAACACCCATAAACTGCTGGTTGCATTTTTGCAAAATGTATGTGAGGTGTGTGATCAGTTGCAACAATCATATTCCTTCAAGTTGATTGAAACATTCTTACGAAGGTGTGCAATTTAAATAAATCTAGATATTAAGGCGTGAAGAAATTATGGAAGCAGTTCAAGAATCAGGGAAAATATACACATTCGTGTTATCAATACCGACTAAGCGGAGGTCTGCCTGGTAACACTCACGAGCGTCGACTGATTTGTCAAAGAATGATGCAGTGTTTTTGCAGGAGATTCCGCAGCGAGAGTACCCGAAAGATGTGGCAACATCTCCATGCTCTGAGTGATTCACCAGTCAAAATAATACAACCCATGCAGGGTGAGGAATCATGTACAACTAGCTACGACATGGAGTCACTAGTTCCAGCCATGTTGCTGCTGTGATCCTGCACGACCGATCATCGCTGCTGGAAGTTCAAATACTTGATGGCGAGAGCGAACACAAGTGCGAAGAGGACGGTGAAGACCACAGGCATTGCAAGCACCAGGCCTTGCATGTCACGTTCGAAGCCGAATTTCATCTTCAGAAACTGTCGCATGGGGATATAGTTCTCAGGAACGTCGATAACCCCGATGGGTAGAACAGGTGAGGTGACATCGCTAAACTGAGTGAGAATCTCCCCGTATAGAGTCCAGGCTGTGGGACAGATCCAATAGTACCACGACCACCACTTGGGAATATCCTGCAACCATTCACTCGCAGCCGTTTTCAGTTTAAGCTTGTGGTGTTTTCTCGAGAGGACCCTAAAGGCCAAGCATCGATGAGCTGAAACCTTGAGGGATGGGAGAAGTGGCTTACCGGCTTGAAGACCACGAATCCGGAGAAGAGGTTGAAGATGGAATAGAACCCAGAAGCCATGATAGCGGCAACTTGGTGGTTAGGGGTGAGAGAAACAGCCATCATCCCGTAGTAAGTGAAGTAAAGGAGGGTGAAGAACATAACGTAGGTGTACCAGAAGAACTTCATGAAGCCCCACTTGAAGCCGATCATGGAGAAGGTTATCAAGGCATACATTATAGTTTGAACGAAGCAGTAGGGTGTCTCAATCAGCACCTGCACGATGGACATCACAAGAGCAATCTAACGATTCAGCTTAAAACATTTGCAAGCTGCGTGACATTATTAAGCTGTTGTGTAAAACTCTCTAAAAGTGGTTCCACTGTGATGAATAGTTTGCACATCAGTGCGAACTCAAGTGTTGTCTGGATGGGTCACCTGGGCTATGGCGTATGGAAATGCAGAGTACATCCCTGCAGCTCTTTCTCGGTAAAAAATGGTCCGCTCGATTGCCACAACGGGTTGAACCCCGGAGGCATTGTTAACTCCGATGAACAAAGCAGCACCATAAATCGACCCCATGAGACTCAAAAGACTCACCGCATCCGATGTTTCCTTGCCCATGTTCCAGAAAATAGTGCCGAAAAGAATTGCCGAAGTGATGGCGAACACGAAACGAGCCATATTGTAGGACTCGCTTCGCCAGTAAGTCACCCATTGCTTCCAGAAGCATGCTCGCACTTGTACGACGAAAGGTTGAGAGTATTGAGTTGGGTAGTACAAGTCTTCCGTGCCCGGTTCTGGTGTGCTGAGCTGCTGCACCAAAGCTTTGTTTCTCTGGCATAGAGAGGATTCTGCGTAAATTTCAGCGAAGTCGATGCCAAGTTGAGTCTCCACAGAAACACTGCTGGCTTCAAGCATCCAGGTGGCGGGGTTGACTCCTTCCTTGATCTTCTGAACGCCAGGAATGGCCTCAAAATAATCCACTAGCTCGCGGGAATGGCGACCAAGAGGTCCCATGTAGATTGTTCGCCCACCGCGCTTTAGCAGAAGCATCTCATCGAAAGCTTCGAAGATGTCGATACTGGGTTGATGTATGGTGCACACGGCAGTGCGGCCGGTGTCAACAATATTGCGTACAGTGCGCATCACAATGGCAGCAGCGCGGGCGTCAAGTCCACTTGTGGGTTCATCCATGAAGATGATAGAAGGGTTCGCTACTAACTCCACGGCGATAGTGAGACGCTTCCGTTGCTCCGTTGACAGGCCAGTAACACCCGGCAGTCCCACCAAAGCACTTTCCAAGGAATTCAGCTCCACGAGATCGATAACTTCGTCTACAAATTGCTCACGCATCTCGTTGTTGATGTCCGCTGGCAGCCGCAACCAAGCGGAGAACACAAGCGACTCCCGCACAGTCATTTGTGGCGAATGAATGTCATTTTGCTCGCAGTACCCTGCAATTCGAGCAAATGTTTTTTGTTTCTTCAGGTACCCAGAGATTCTAATGTCACCCTTGATGTAGCCGCCTGTTTTCCTTCCCGCCAGCACATCCATGAGAGTAGTCTTCCCTGCGCCGCTCACTCCCACGAGCGCTGTCAAAACTCCTGGTCTGAAAGCCCCTGTAATTCCATGCAAGAGCTGTAGTCTAGTCTCGGTTGTCTGACTCATCATCTCCGCAGGCATGTCGACATAATACCTAATGGAGTCAAAGGAAATCGACAGCGGCCGGAACGGTAATATCATCCCCTTTTTCACGCTCTGGGGGCGTGCGTTCAATCCATCACCCTCTTTTACAAAGGCATTCAGTTCTGAAGTCTCTGTTTCGATTTTTGACCCATTCGTGTCGTTAGATGCATAGGGGTTTTCTGTTAGCAATACCAGCCCAATAAGGTTTTAGTTGTATCACTTGATTGCCTGTCAATAGTCTACGACGATTAAAAGGATAATCACAGCATTTTTGTAGTTTTTGGGGTTGGCCTTACGTTTCACTTTGGAAGCCACAGTTGGATCTTTGGTTCTGCTCCGGGACTTGCTACTGTTTCGTCCCGAGAGCAATGGTTTCGTACCCAGAAGATTTGCTTGTTTCTCTGCCAAGGCCTCTTCTGAAATGGTTGCTTGCGACTGCTCGAGCGCTGGAATTGAACCCAACACAAAAATGTAGTCATTCAAGTATTCAAAGATACTCTGCTGAACTCACTTTTTCACAGAAAATGACGCCAATAAGTTATTGTGGCTACAAGACTGGACAGTGTGGACTTACGGCTCAAGTAGGAGAGGGTGATGGAGTACACGATGTTGAAGAGGAATGTGGAGACCACCAAGGCACCCACTCCAACCCAATAGTAGTAATTGTGTGCTATCATCCCCCTTTTCTCGAGAATTGCCCTCCCTAGCGTGTGCATTGTGCCGTCAACAGGCTTGCTCCAGCGCGGTGCGAGAAATTCGTTGACGCTCAGGGAGCTTTGTGCGTAATTTAGCGGGGAGATCCAGTAGCCCCAGATCCACCAGGGATGAATTTCTGAGCGGGGTAGGATGAACCCCCCCAACATGAAGATGATGAGCAAGAGGAATGTGCCTCCTGTGGCGGCCAGCACCATAGTGCGAAATATTCCGGCAATCATGCGAAACATTGCGCCCGCCATTTGGTGCACAAGAAACAATGTCAAGTAGTACTTGAAAAACCTGACAACTCCGGGAGCGTAGCCAATTTCATAATAGGTTAGGATGGAGTAGATTCCTGCTTCCACAATGGATGACGGCAAACTCAGCACCAAGGTGGGCAAGGCATATGCCCATGCAGGGAAGAACATTAGGTCCCGTTGCTTATAGAACACCGGGAGACGGTCAAGCGTGAGTGAGAGCTCAGCGTAGCCATTGAACATGATGATCACGTTGCCGAAGAAGATGGCGCCCATGTAGTGGAGCCCGTCTTCCTCCGAGTTCTGACTCAAAGTCGACCTGAAGAACACGGACATCGATATCAACCCCACAATTCCGATTTGGATTGTCTTGAAAACGTATACGAATGAGTTGCGCTTCATTAGCAGCCATTCCTTGGCGAAGTTCGACTTGAAGAGCTCATAGCGGCCCACGGAGTATTTGTCCAACTTGAGGGCAGCTTTGTGGCTTTGTTGCTTGTCGAAGGGGACAGCGAGCTCCTGTACCAACTTCTGCCCAACGTGGAATGACTTGAAATGATCGGAGAATTGTTTCACTGAAACAAATGTATAGGGGCGACTCTTGTCGTGCCAATATTGCTCCTGATCCTTGATGGATGTCACTTCTTGCAAGAAATCAGCAATGCCCTTCCGCTCTGGACACTGAAACCCGCACCCCTCGAAAAATTCTAGAACATGTTCGCAAGGCCCATGGTAGACAACTAGCCCCTCGGATAATAACACAACGTCATCGAAGAGCTCGAAAGTTTCCGGAGCAGGTTGCAAGAGCGACATGAAAATGGTGGACTCCATCACATGACATAATTGGCGTATGCATTTCACGATTTGGTATGTTGTGGAGCTATCAAGCCCTGTGGAAATTTCGTCCATAAACAGTGCGTCTGTTGGTCCCACAAGCATTTCGCCTGTTGTCACACGTTTCCTCTGACCACCAGAAATCCCCCGGTGCATGCTGTCTCCGACCATCGTGTTCGCGCAGACGTCTAGCCCCAAAATCTTCATAATGTAGTCGGTGAGGAGGTTGTGTTCCTGGCCTTCGACGGCAATTGCCTTCATGTAGACATCCACGTCATGTTCTGGATAAATGCCAGCCTCCTTCTCTCGTCTGGCCAATTCCACAAGCATATCTGCACACAATCATGTCGCAGGTCATCATGACGACAGGTTCTTTGAAGTGACCATGTGCTCGTGGAGCCTCGATCCATCAATGCTGATGCTTGGCAATGGATTTGAACCCCAATGTATAGATGTTTAGTGTATACCGTGGCGAGTTCCGGCGCCCTGGCAACGAGCCGAAAAGTCGAGGGTCTCTCGCACCGTCATTTCGCCCACGTGCAGGTCATTCTGGCTGATATACACAGCAGTTTTCTGAGGCACAAATTCGTCAAGAGTATGGCCGTTGTAAGCGATCTTTCCCATTGCTTTCAGATCCGAGTTAAGCTTTCCGGCTAGAGCAAGAAGCAAGGTTGTCTTCCCTGATCCTGGAGGACCGAGGAGCAATGTCATCCTCGCTGGTTTAATGATACCACTGATGCCGTGGAGAATGTTGAGAGTCGTCTTTCTGGTTTTCGTAAGCCCTGTAGCGTCAAGCGCAGCCTGGAATCCTCAAGAAGGAATAAGACATTGATATGAGCTCCACCATCATAATTACATGTGATCGTTCTGCAAGAAACTGTGCGGTGCTCACGGCAACCAAGAAGACAGAAAACAAAATTGCTGCAAAAGTTGACAAACGGCGGCGGATCAGGAACAAACCTCAAGAAAGTTGAGCGTGGAATTTCTTAGGATCGGTAAAGTGCGCCCCCCGAAGAAACACGTTGCACATACCGTCAAATTTTCATACCTAACCTCAATGGTGGGAAGCTTGATGGCAACTCTATCAATGCGGGCGCGTAATTTCTTGAGGAACCTGTCGTTGTCCTCCTCCGTGACCTTGAGAAGTCTGTCAATTATCTGCTGCCGCTCAACAAAGCCCATGCGCCGCACATCGACCTCTTCGTGGATAATTCTACCACTCACCTGCTTCTGCAGAATGGTGGTATGGAGCCGGTCTAGGGTTGGCAACTTCTCAAGAGCTGCCCACCTGAGGGCTTCTTCATCGTCGCTCTCTGTACGTCTTGAAAGTGCAGAGCTCCGCCCGAATATATTGTCAGGACCAATGCCCCAGCTCGTAGAGAACCCTCTGCGGAAGGACCTCTCTGAACTCCTGCTGCTCCAGAAATCTTGAACACCATCCAACGAGGCTGGGGCCGCCATGATGAAGCTCGTTTCCTCTCGGATCAGATCATCTAGCTGCTCGTCATAGCTCTGAGATCAATTATATCTGCCTGTTCACTCTGCGATGCAGAAGTTCTTCATGTCAGGAGATACAAAGACAACTTAAACGGGAAAGTTTCAACCTCGGAACTCAAATTTCCATGCTAGACAACCACCAAGCGTGCCCGATTGTGCCGGATGGGGAAGATAAGATGGAAGAAATAATGAAGACATCAAAGCACGGTTCTAGTGAAACCATGCACGGGTCTTAGAATCTTGTAGTGCGGAGGGATTTTGGTGCTGCAAGAGAAAAAGGGAGATTGATACAATCGATACAGATGGTCTGAGAAGCTTCAAGGGGAAAGGCACATTTGAGTCCACGGGCCCTGATTGTCGAGATTTCACCATGGGGACCCAATTGCATGGGGGCTACACTCGACAGAAGCGTGATCCAGACTGGTGGACCTGGATAGTCTTTCCTGTGTTATTCCATTCTCTGGATCCCAGCAGCGGTTGCGAGCATGTCGCAAAAGCTGATCGCACCCACCCCTACTGTCGTCAACCACGGCGGATACTGTGGTTGACCGGTGCCCACACGCGGACCCACACGCGGGGTCGGTGGTTTCAGTCCCCCCCCCAAATCCATGGACAACGCTGGGGTTGAGGAGTTGACGTGTCCATTTCGGACAGCCGGCCCTTTCGCCCTGGTCAATGCGCTGACTCACACGGGCTGCCCGCGAAATGTCATGTAAACTCCATGTTAAAGGTTGAGCCACGTTTATTCTTTTTGGTCTTTGACCAAGTAATAAACATTCTTAGAAAAAGTATAATTTAGTTTTTTAGAATATATATATATATATATAGGAAAGCAACATAGCAACAAATGAAAATTCTTTATGCTATATATACCAAATTAAAACATCACTAAAAACTTAAGCTTAAAGTTTCTATAGATATTTTACAAATTATTTAATAATAAATATAAATTTTATTTTAGTTTATTATTTTTATATATTTTAATATCTCTATTTGGATAATTTTTAATATTAAGATGTATTGTCTATGCATATGTTGTAAACCTTTAACATGGAGTTTACATGACATTTAACATATAAACTTTTCTTTATATTCAAAAATAAGTTGTATAATATTTTATTAACAATACTTGGTGTATTGTTTATAAAAATGAGGATAGTTTAATTATAAAAGAGACATAATATTAAATTTCTTAAATATAGAGCACTAAAACAAATTTTTGTATATAGTCACAAAAATTTAATTAAAATAATTAGAAGTAAGAGATTAGAATTGTACTTAATCAATCTACAAATTATATTTAAGTCGTCAAATTAATTAATTTATTTATTTATATGTAATAAAAGATTTAAATTATGGTCTAAATTAATTATTTATTATTTTAAAAATATTTACTTACAATTTTTAAAATTTAATGTAAGTAAATTATTTTCTACAATAATAATTTAATAACCAATTTATGTCTATTATCATCAATGACACACTAAATTATGCACTAAATTATTACAAACATTTTAAAATATGTAAATGATTGGATTCTATATTATTTTTTAAGAAAATATATCAATACTTAAAAAGATATATTTTGATATTGTATATACTAACTAGTCATAAAGAGGATTAAAAAAATTAAAAAGAAAGTACAAAAGATTTTAGCTACTACAAAACAATGAAAATATCCCATTTAATTAAAGATCCATTTCATTGATCCAAAATAATCTTAAACCACCAAAAGATAACAATTACACCAAAGTATTCAAAATAGCATAAAAGAGGTTGATGGTTCAAATCACCCCCCCCCCCAAAAAAAAAACAAAAACAAAAACAAAAACTATGTATATATACTTATATTTATATATTTACCTTCACAAAAGGTCATATAATTATTCTCTACTACAAAATTTGTTCACATGTCAATCTAACCTTTGCTTCCAGGTCATTAGAGAACATCGTTCAGACAACGGTTGATCGAGTGCACCGGTCAACGACGCACCCTGAAGGAACTTTCCGTGTCGGCACCCTCAAGGAACAAACGGCGTGCCTCACAAAAGCAGGCTGAGGTAACGGCAGAATGGATCCATCCAGTCGGGGCTTCATGTCAATCTTCAGCGATGGCACTGCAACGGAAAAGAGGGCAACGAGCACCAGAAGAGTGAGCGAGAGAGAGAGAGAGAGCACAGTCAAAGCAAGCAGGCACCCATTTGGTGGGAGCGAGTCAAGGCGATGGCGACATTCCCACCACACACTTGCTCTCGCGCAAGCATCTCTATCTCCTCACAATCACAAGCAAGCAAGCAAGCAGTGAGCATGGCAGATGCGGCGCCCATCTCACTCTCACGCTCTCCACCACCATTCACCAGATTCTCAGGCACGGTTTTGGCACTCAGATGGGTCCTGTCCCCTAGCCGGAACCATGACCAATCCTGGGTCGAAGTTCACAGTTCAACTGTGTTTTCGTTTTTTCTTCATCGAAAGTCGGAATCACTTCACATCAAACAGTTTTTTTGGTGCGCGAATTCTTACTTGCGATGCGATGGATGATACTTTGCCCAGGCCTGGCTTGAGGCTTTGTCCAGTATGGCATGCCAACTTTCGCAGGTCGATGGGCTCACAAGCCTGGCGCTTCTGCAGAAGTGCAGGTCGAGTTTCGTCGGAGTGAGAATCCTGTCCATTCGCTGGGTCCGCTTCAGCCACGTCGATTTCGCCGCCCTCCTTTTGCAGAGTCCAGCCTTTGTCTTCTCCATAGCCTCGACTTTCTGCTACTTTCTGCAGACAACGGTAGACCATAGCGACTAAGTCTGCGTGATGCTCAATCGTTTATGCGAGTGTCGAAAGTAGTAAAAGCTGCGTTTCGAATTTCGCTGAATGAGATTTGCTGGTGCAGACCCACCTTACCCAGAGCCATCCCCACAATCAACTCTCTCGTAGTGTAGCCGCCTTTTCCTTCTCGTCAACTTAACTTCACGCATACATGAGATGATACCTCCACCTTGACCCTCAGAAGTCGTAATGGAGAGATCGCAACTAGCGATGGGGGTCCACGACAACAGACCCAGGGCAAGAACTGGGGGGAGAGGTCAGAATCACTGGAATCGTGAGGTATAGATCGGGACACACGTCTGCGGCATTGTGGAACAAAAGCGGTGCGTGATCGTCGAATCTTAAAGAAGCAGGGTCACGGGTCGGTATCTCATAATTCTGAAAGCGAGCGTGCACCGCTCACTATTGGTTGTTGACTGCGAACACTGAATTCCTTTGTGACAAAGCCGTGCCATTCCTCGTGGAATAGAGGCTCAAGCTTTCTCGGTATGATTTTTGATAGGCTTTTCAATTAGGTACTGATTGGGGAGGTGTTTAGAAATATGGACTCCAGGCTCCGCACGGAGCCACTAAAGTTCTGGCCACCGAAGCAAGCCTGTGGCCACAACGCCAATCTGGCAAAAGAAATGGTATGGAATTCATGGATTGATGTCTTTCTGTACTGCTCACAGTACACACTCCTTGCACTGTGGGTTCATCCTCACAATCACGACATTTCATTGCACAATGCATTCAATTGCATGGCACCAGAATACCCCACCTTTTTTATTTTTTTATTTTTTGTATTTTTTAGACTATTGTCTCTTTTCCTTCTTTTCTTTTTCTTTTTGCTGTGGCGCATTTCTTGTGGAATAAGGCGATCTTGCATTCAAGACCTTGAAGCAATTCTGCCGACAGATGGACATGCTGCTTGTATCGATTGTTATTGTGTTTCTAATGTATCGATTCATTATGCACTGTTATTGTGTTGTGCGATTGTTGTAGTAATTCTCTAGGTTTGTGACTGCATTCTTTTGTTTCTTTTGTTCATGTTGTGTTGAGTGATCCCTCTTCATTCTTCTGATGTTGTCGTTGTTTGTCTGAATCTGAAATTACAAGACTCAATCTTTAAAGAGCTCCCAATTAGCATAAAAACAATTAAGTCTAAACAGTATAAAAACATTCAAAAGGGCTTTAATCCATGTAATCTGTTATAATATTCAGGTTATTTTGTTGTTATTATTAATACAGATTTGTTTATAAAATACAATCAAAGACTTTAATTTATATATATATATATATATATATATAAATGGTATACAACTTTCAAAGCATGTAAATGAATTAAATGAATGAAACTAAGAATCATTTTTTGATTACCTTTATACAAAAGAAAATCAACCAAGAAATTATGAAAAGAAAAGATGAGGTGAAATGAATAATTTTTTTACAATGCATGAATTGTGTTGTTGGTCAAATTTTTTGTTAAATCTATTTCAATTGGATATTTTGACTTAGAAATCCACTTTGAAAGGCCATAGTGTAAAAGTCTTGTAAAAGTCTTTAAATGTCTCTTACTTTTTTAAAACAAAATTTCTTATATAAATAGAACAAAGTAAAAAAGAGCCATGTCATTGACCAAATCATTCTTTTATTATGACTTTAAATGTAACATCTCAAATCTTTATTGTTTGAATGATAAAAAAAACATAAAAGAATCCAAATATACAATAGCTTTAAATTTTTATAAAATCACCTACATTTCCTATTCTATTTTGTAAGATACAATACATATTTTTATTATGTAGAAAATAAAGCATTCTATCTTATATTTACTATTTATAGAATCTTTATTAATTTTTCTAAATCTAAAAATAATAAAAAAATACTTTTGAATTTTAACCAATTACAAACTTATAAAGTTGTAGCCCCTTTCTATCTATTTTAAACCTAAAGACCTCCTCAAGACGTGGTTTTAATACAAAAAATATAAGTTATGTCAAAAATTACTTAAAACATCAATTAAAACTTTAAAATTAATATTTTACATTTGTTATTATTTTTGCAATCAAGATGTATATTTTTGTATAAAGTTGTTATATTTAGAATCACAACAAAAGAATGATTTGGCCTATGTCATAACATCTTCTCACTTTATACTATCTCTAAAAATTTTAACTTCCAAAAGACAATTTTTCTTCACCAAATGAGAATATTTGTAAGACTTTAGACCAATAATCTTTTAAAGCTGGCTTCAATGATCCAAATATGTTCTTGACAATATCAACACAAGAGTAAAAATAAATCCTTTAAATAAGTAATTATTTTAAAAGAAAAAGAACACACACAGGAATCTAGCTATATTGTGTGACAATCATGAAACCAAAAAACATAATGCTACATCCAGAGGCAATTTCTTAGACAATAACTGTTGAGAGAACAGTTTGCTCAACCCATTACAAATAAAAAGAAAATAACACGGTAACAAAGGAAGAAGCCAAACTTGATGATCAACACGTTTTCATTTCCCATTTCATTAACTTCATGGATGCTAAATCAACTTCCACTGAAACCAATCGACAATAACTCCGATACAACGTAACAAATTAGAAACAAGATACAAGTCCAAGTTCC